AAAAAAAAAAAAAAAAGTTTTGCAAATGTTCATTTTTTTTTTCTTTTACAATTTAGATTCCATTTTAATTAAAACTCAGAGCCAATTCTATATGAAGGGAGGTAGAAAGCCCATTCACACTGAAATTCTTTTTAGGGTTCCACAGCTGTGGCCATGAAATTCTTGACTGGCCTGACTCTCAAATGTAAAGGAAGACTCGTTCCCTCTTTAGTCAGGTTTCATCTTCAGAGGCCTAAGGTGATATTTGGCTGATTATTTAGCAATGAATGTATTAAAACGGATATCTAGTTTCTTGAGCTCCTAGACTAGTGTGATACTTTGCTCTGTCTTTCTCTACCATTCACTGGCATTTTCAAAGAGACAAGAACTGGTTTAAGAAGCACTTAAAAATCTAAAGACCAACCACAGATGGGTGAACACTGTCTGGTATCTGTGCTTAAATTCTATTGACTTTGTAAAATCTTAGTTCAGTGCAACAGTTTTAGAAGGAAGAACCTGTAAACGAATCACATTTCCTGCCCAAATACCATGTCTGAAGTGGAATGACCATTTTTATTCTACCCTGAAAACATGCCATTTGCCTAGCTATACTCCGTACAAAGTCAACTAATTTCCTATTGTGCTGTTTTCTGTTTTTGTGCTTGCTTTGTTCTGTCATGAATATGTGATTCTATCATCACTTTAATTTACTTGACATTTATGAATTGATACTGTGGGCTGGGCACCCAGACATACAAAGAAGAACTAGACATCATTCTTGTGCTCCCAAGGTTTCCCTGGGAGCCTTCCAGACTCAATAGCTTCCCTTCTAGCATCGTCACTCTCTATGCCCCTTATCTCACTTAATTTCCTTTCATATCATGTATCTGCCTGACATAGTATGCATTCATTTGCTTATTGTTTGTGTTCCCCACTTACTATAAGGATGCCTAAAACAGTGCTTAGCACAGAGTAGGGACGCAAAACATATCTGCTGAAATAACTAATGAACATAAGAAGGAACACCTTAACTTGCATTATATTTGTAAGGCCTAGAGGATGGTCACAGGAATGCTTGCTTTGTGATAAATCATTGAGCTGTACATTTTTAATTTGTGAGTTTCTTCGTGTGCGATTACACTTCAAAATAAATTTAAAAAAAAATCCAACAATTGCTGAAGCTTAAAATCACATTAAATTACCTACTTGCTGACTACATCAACTAGTTCTTAATTGCCAATGTCAAAATGCATTCCTTGAAAAAAGTCTTCAAATTTTACGTTGCCAAAGTTTAACCGAGGTTAACCTAGATAGAAAGCAAAACAAAACAAAACAAGTGATTGTCTAGCTAGTCATTTACGATCAAAAGACTTTACTGAGTGCCTACTCTATCACTTACTATGTAAAAGTCAGTTAAAGAGCAGGAATTTCTAGAAGATGAAACTCCTCACAGGCTAATTGGTGTAAAGAACAACAAACTAGCAATCAAACTTCTGAGGCCCTGAGAACATATACAAAGGTATAGACTTTGGAGAGTTACACTCTGATGAGAGAGTTGACACCTTAACAGTGGTTCACAGAGGAAAAGGTGGGCCAACCAAATACTTAGTCTTACGGGCCAGATCTTTTTCTGGACTGGAATTGGGTACAAAACTATATCCAGATTCAATGCAAAAAGTCACAGATGCATTGAAAAAATCCAGTTTGGCTTCAGTATTCAAAATAAATTCATTTGATGAGTGTGTTCTGCATTTTAGAACATAAATCTGTTTCATAGATAAAATGAGGCTGGCAGTGTTGGTGGGTATTCAGCATGGAGAACGAGGGGGTGCACGCTTTTGGCATTGCAATTGTTATCAGCGTGATTTCTCTCCCCAGACTCAGTCAGAGATGACCTCTACCTGCCACAGACATCACCCACATGCCTATGTTCCAATGCCAGAATGTCATGTCTAAGACTGGGTATATTAGATAAACAGGTAAGGGGCAGTTACATTACAAATTATATTTTTTAATGCCTTATGAAAACCAGCACTTTAGAAATCAAAGAAAATAATCATGTCCTACTTAAGTGAAGTTTATTTCAATCCTAGCTAGGGCCCCATTGTGGCTACTGCTTACATTTTTCAAAATTGATTTTCTACCAAACAAACAGTTACTCTGAAGTTATATACAGCATTTCCTCATAGTAATCATGATACAGTGTCTTTGTAGCATTTCCTGGTGTTTCCCCTTTTTCTTTCTTTCCATAATATTCGTTTATTCCATACACTCCTTCCAGGAGAGTGTGTGCCATGGTTCTACCATGCTAATTGTTGCCCTGTATGACTCAGGGAGATATAGAATCAGAAACTTTTACAAGCAGAATTCTAATCACTCCTTGGATTGAAGGCTTTGTTTGCATTAGTCTCCCCTCAATAAGTCTTACTCACTTTTACATACAAAGCATTAAGGCCTGCACTAATCGGTTCTTGTTGTATTGCTCCCCAAGGCAAACTTGGGCAGGAGAAGTTGGTCTTTAGAGCTTATTCAAACTCCTTTCCTGTCTCCTCTCCTTTCTCCTCTCTGTTAGGAACATTTACTATCTGCTGCTTCCTTGAAGCCTATACACTAGTTTTCTCAGGCTTGGAAATCTAACCAGGTCCCCTGTGGCTAGCAATCATGGCATGAATCTGTCCAGCTTCTTTTAAAGTTCACCACCCTATGTCCTCATCCATGAGATCTCTTTTTCTAATTTCCCAAAGTAGCTCTGAAAAACATCTATGTAAAATTGTTAATATCTGTTGTCAAAAGACCTATATATGTTTTTGGAGGCTAAAATCTCCAAATCTTTCTCTTTAGGATTTAGAGAAAGAAGAACTCAATTTGTATCCTGACTCTCCTTCTTGGAGAGCCAGGTAACAAATCTCCTACCTTGGCTTTCTTACCTATAAAATGGGGTTGATAATATATATTCTGCAGTGCGATGAGATTAAAATTAGGTGAAGTGGGTGAAAGTGCTTGCACACCGTAAATCTTGCTGCTCTACAATATTGTTTTAATTAATAACATTGGGGGAGAAACTTAATCCTTCCCATATTCAGCATGAAGGCTATGGCCAGCTCTACTGCTCTACTAGCGTGTAGTGCATAGCGTTCTTCCTGCAGAGCAGAGGATGTTTTACTTTTATGCTTTCAGAAATATTTACTCTGTGTTGATTTGAAACCCACACCTAGCTCCATTTCTCCAGTCTTTCTGTTCATAACTGCTTTAGTTCCAGCAAGATCTTCAAGGTGAAACTCTCAAGAAATCCAACCTTCCCTGGGTAGGTGAGTACCTTGGGGAATCAGTGCACACACGATAATATGTATAATCTAGGAGAAAGAACACAGCCTTTGTTGCAAGCACATAACACCACTGAATACATTCAGGGCAAGTGGCACTTGGAAGGGATAGAACATGGCTCAAACTCATGAGAAGCCTCTGTCAACAGAGTACCATGGGGCACCATGTAACCCTGGGAGGAGGAGGGGTCAAGGGAGCCCTCTTGGTACAAAAGATACAGAGGAATCCACTCATCGTGTCTGAGCCTTTACTTCCTATTCTCAAAATAAGTAAATATATGAGCAGAGAAGAGCAGAGAGAGGAGAAGAGATATTCCAAACACTGAAAACCCCCATGGATCATACAGTCTTTATATCAGTAGCCCTGAAGAGACACCAAGCATCATGTCAGGTCTCTGCAGAGGAGAGAAGCTCAGACAAGTCTTTATTCTATCAGGTCAGGTAAATCAAGAAGGTCACCTGGTCAAAGCTGTAGAATTCCACGGAATTCAGAGGTTAGTGGACTTTCTTGGCCTCCTGTCGTAAAGAATTGATTCTGCATTTCAATTAAAATGGAATCTAAAAGGAAAATCCCCAAGGGCCAATTTCAGTAGGAAAAATACTTTCAATGGTTTTTTTATTGGTTTGAGACTGCCACTGGTATTCCGAATCATGTCTTGATATGAGTTCAGTGTAAAAAGTAGTCTGCCTGCCTCAAATCTCCAAGTTAAAACTTCTTCCCATGGGTTGAATTTAAAACACATTGGTGTAATAATAACACTATTTAAATTTACTATGAAAGGAAAAGTCAGAGAAACAGAGTCCTCCATTTCAGTAAAAAGATTGCTTAGCAATGTATTTACTCCATTGTTTACAGTTTATCTGCTTAATGTCACTTAAACCTGTTGCTGTTTTAGAGCAGTTCACATAAGGTAATGAAAATACTGTGTGTAAGCTTCACTCTTGAGTTCCAAGGATTGTCAGACTTCCTAACACAACTCTTTGAATTACCATGGTCCCTAGAAAACTTTGTTTGAGAGAGATGTGAGCAGGGAAGCTGCCTCTGGTTTTCTAGCAATACCATGGCTTCAGAGAAAGAGCCCATGGGCTCATTTGAAAATTCTTTTAGAGTTTTCATCTTCGCTCGTGGAATCACATTATATTTTGGTGTATAGAAAGCGCAGTGTGTGAGGAGGATAATATCATATCAAAAAGAACCCTGGAGATAGCTGTAAAGTATACCAGTTAGCAACTCGGCAGAGAAGCTTCCATCAAACAACCTGAAGTGAGGTTGCTTTGTTCATTAAACTGACCTACATGAACCATTATTGCTATTTGGCTCTGAATTATTAAAAATCAGTAGCAAGATTTAGCACACCTCTAACTCCAGGCTCTCCTGTTCTTCAAGATAAAAACCGTCTCTCTTTGTGCTAGTTAGAAAACATATGTGAACGTACTAGCACTCAGCTTCTAGTGATAACCTTGTTAGTGTCTATATAACTGCATGTAACCACTCAGCATGACATCCTTTTCCATTTCTCTTTATGAATAATTTTGTTATACCTCATCCATTTTCTAGTGCTCTTTATTACAGCATGCTACTACATTTATTAGAGTTCCCATCAGAGAATTCTTCTTCTTGTTATCCTTAATAGTGCCATGGACTGCCCTCTCTTGACTGTAAACCTGGCACTGTTCAAAGCACATTTATTAGTTTATAACCCTTACATTTTAAATTCCTGCCAAGAACTTCCTAGGTGAGGAGAAGTTTGAAATAAATATTCCCCCCACACACACCACCACCACCATCACCACCATTCTCCTTCCTATTTGAATCATAGTGCTAAGGGTCTGCTTTTTAGTCCTTAAACATCAGAAAACACATAGGCAAATTCCTCCTTCATTTAAACCTTTTATGACCAGGTGCATCAACAAGCCCTAAAGAGCAGAAATTTTCATTAGATGCTAGAACACACACTTAGACTTGAAGCTTTGAGTTGTACTGGGGGGCACGTTGGTTTTGGTGCAACAATATTGTCCCATTCTGTGTTTTTATTGTTGTAGGCTACCTCATGCTGACTATAGGCAGAAATAGACTGAAAGTAAAGAGCAGCCTCAATTTATGATGAGTTCTTGACAATCTATCCCCCAAACCCTTTGATGTTGGTCTGATTAGATATTAGACACTTGACATTAGAAAATTGCCTTGTTTGGGTTCCCTATAAGATCACCTTTGAAAGACAGTTATCAATATGTAGAGAGATGGAAAGTGACCAGGCAGCATATATCTTATTTGTTTAACAACCTATACAGGAAAAAAAATAATAAAAGTTCTCCCACCCCTGAAAATACAGAGTAGTCAATCTCTGTTTGTCTTGTGTTTTTCAGAGAGGAGTAGAAAGGGAGGAAGAACATTGCCAATGGGACAAGAAGAGCAAGAGAGCATGAGAAGGAGAAAGACTGGGAAAGCCACCACTGTCATACCCAAAAAGCTTTGCAGCCATGGCGCTTGCCAAATGTATATTCACATGTAACCATAAAAATCACTTAAGAACTTTCAAGTGGATTTACTCTTTCTCTTTTCAAACAGTAAAGTACATTGTTACAGGAAGATATAAATACAAAGATGCCAGAGAGCCAATCATTTATCGCAATCACAAAACCCTTATTATGCAGCTAGCTCCCCAAAGTCCTAAGGGACAGCAAGAACAGTCACCAACAATAATGGGACCAGGTCACTAGGGGAAATCCACTGGGTTTCACTCATAATTAGGTTCTGCTTTGATTCCCAGAGATGCGTGTTTTCTACCACCGAATACTGGAACTGCTATACATATCCTCAAGAGCAGTCCTTGGACAGACAGGCAGCACCTTCTCTCTGCCTCCTGTTATTAGGTATTATTACTATTCTCTATAATCCTTATTTTGTTGTCCTCTCTCTTGCTATTTCTCTCTCTCTCTCTGCTGTTGGCATCTATAGAATATTCATGTTTATTTTGTATAAGGATTTATGCCAACTGGCCTTTGCCACTGTTACTACCATTTCAAGATCACAAGCAGGGGTGACATAGAAGCAAAATATGCAGACATAGGAGTAGCCTGAAATTGGATGTTTCCCAGTTGATTATTTTATACTCAATGTACGATGATTGTCAAAATGCTGACATTATGATTTTTTTAAAATTTTGCTATAGGGCACATGGGCTTGCTGGAGAGAGACAGGGAGAGAGAAAGTGAGAAATCACCCCCCAGGAGGGATGGCCATGATGCAATCTCTTCTCTCAGGATTTGGGGCATGCTTGCACATGCAGCCAGCAGATCTGGGACTCAAACCATGCAGTGGGCCATGTGGGACCCAGCCGCCTTATCCTCCAAGCCACCTGCTAGACCCTCTTCCTTTCCTTTTTTCTCCCCCTTGGTTATCCACAAAAAAAAC